TACTATTTAAATTGAAGAAAAGGTTGAATGAACAAAACCAAGGTAAAAAATGATAAAAATAACTCTGAAAACTTAAAATCCTAATGTCTGTTCTATTTCTTTTCAAAGACAGACTTTCTACAAGAGACATCAATTTTAGTATATAGCTCTTTTTAAAATATCTGGTCAAAGTCACACTGAAATTCATTTAAGTATCACAGGTAGAAATCGTCCTTAGTAAGGACAGTCACCTGTATAATCAACCAGAATGACTCCTATCATAGTATTGGATCCCTTGACATCAATCTTGTATATAATTCTATTCAAACATTACAGTGTAACTCAGAGTAACTCTGTCTGTAAAACTGCCCTACCTGGTACCTTGGTTTCTTTTGCTTCTTTGTATTACAAAATCCACTAGAAGTCTATGTAACAAATAAAATCTTATTTAGTAGTATCTTCTGCTAAGATTGTATCACTATTTGCATAAGTTGTCTTCATATGCTTATTTAAGCAAGCACACGGAAAGTATGATTTTATGTAATCATAATAGAAAGAACTTTCTACACTTAAAAATTTTAAAACAAAGAGCAAAAAATTTGTTAACTTCCTTACTAGTCTGTTACACTCATTATTTCATATGCCTACATGAAGCAAACCTACCTTTTCTTTATTTTTCTATAGTATCAGAAAATGTTATGAAGCAAATTTGTCACTAAAACGGGAAATACTGTAACTCCCCAAAGATTGTGAAAAAAAAAAAATCTGCAATTTTCCCCCCAAATACAAGTACTTTTAATATCAATATCTATCTACTGAAGAGATAAAAACCAAAACTGGGTTAGAAGTACTTCTAGAAAAATCTACTCATAAATCTAAAGTATTTATTTACTTTTGAATAAACAGAATTTTCAGGTTATAGCTAACTGTAAAGTAGCTCCCAAAAATAATAAAGTAAATTAAATATCCAAAGTTCTAAAGTATAAACATAGGTAATTAGTTCTCTTTGGAAGAACTAGTTTTATTTTATCTTCAAGATCAAGTACTTTTCAAATGAAAGAGATATAAAGTCACTCATATCTATAAATTTTGCCCTTGTTTTTCCACCATGTAAGTTTACTTTAAAACGGAAGTATTATAGAAACTGAAAATGTTTTAAAGGTTGTATTTGTTGCTTGGTTAAATATGCAGGCAATTCTCATTCCCCAAGAGTTATCATATTGGGTTACAGATAGCTCTACATAGTATACTTAGAATAAAAAGTTTCTGCCAACAAATGATACCTACATTCATTCATTTTTATTGGTACAGCATTAATTAGGATGCAAAAAATGTGAAAGTTTCTCAGCTCCTTTCTAATACACAAAGTATTTACAGAAGTCACTGCAATTCAAGCCCTCAGGGAAAAAAATTATAGAAAATGAACTTTTAAAAATTAAATGAGGATCTTAAGAAGTCAAGAAAGAAGTGCAGAAGTTTTGCCTTTTTTACAGTGAATTTTTCCTTCTGATTTAGTATTACAAAAGAACTACAAACTAGAGTTGTTCAACATAGAAAGCTTACTAAAGATCTTGGTCCATTTAGAAGTATTTCAATAAAAAGAGCTCAGAATGTAGACATCTAACCATTTTAAATATACATTTAACCAGTTCAGTCCACTGTGATTCTTAACCCTTTAAATCTAGAAAACTCATCGTCCATAATTGCAAAAGAAATGTATTCATTAACATTTGGAAACAAATGTGGTCAAATAACAGGAAGTGTTCCCTAATAACTCAACATAAACATATGTAAATACGTAAATATTTTCAAATTTCTATGCCCCCCCCCACTTCCACTTACGTTGTTTCAAAGGGCAAACCAAAAGTTGCACTTATTCCAGAAGTCTAGACATTCCTAACATCAAGCATGACAGAAAATGTGTTCAACTATGAACTAAACTCAAGTACAGCCTCCCTCAGGAACAGATTTTAACTCAATACCGTCTACCATTTCACCAAGAATCTAAGGGTTCATGTCAGTGCATATTTCCTTATATTTATTAGAAACTGTCCTGAAGATTAAGAAAGGAGTTTTATGACCAACAGTTTTATGAAAACGGAGAGGGAAGGGGAAAAAAAGTGTTGCATTCGGGCTTCTGGATGTTGCAGGCATCTCCTAGGACCCAAAGGAAGTTGATGTTTAGGCTCCTTCCGAGAGTGTGGTACCCGTATGTTAAGACTTTCACGGAGGTAACACCGCGCTCCCGGGGCCCGGAATAAATGCAAATTCTAAAGCCCTGGCACTGCTTTCACTAAAGGAAACTTCAGCTTGCATTCAGAAACGATCGCCAGTCACTGAGCGTCACCGGGCTTCTCGCCTAGGCGGACAGCACAGCCTCGACCAGGAACGAGGAAGGCCGCCTTTAACTCCACTCATTTCTTCCGTAAAACTTTTAAGTGAGACCGAAGCCAGCAAAAGGTGCGGAGGCCCCGACGGAAGTAGAAACCCGGGGCCGGCAACTTCACAGACAGCCACGTCCCGGGTTCCTCCGCCAGCCCGGGACCCTCCGGACTCCGTCTCTACCGCACGGCGGGGGCTTCGGCCTCCGGGAGCGGCGGAAGAGGAGGCATCACAGCTGCACTCCTCCTTCCATCACCCGAACCCTTCGGTATCCCAGAGCCTACGGGCTCCCGAGACCCGTTAGTCCAATACCACCCATCTTACACACACACACACACACACACACACACACACACACACACACACAAGTTGCAGGTGATGTGCGTGTACGGAGAGAATGTGAACAAGCCCGGGACCGC